CGACCCGCCGCGCGCCTCGGGGTGCGCGGCGGGCAGGAAACCGCCGCGCGCCTCGGGGCGCACGGCGGGCAGAAAACCGCCGCGCGCCTCGGGGCGCACGGCGGGCAGAAAACCGCCGCGCGCCTCGGGGCGCACGGCGGGAAGAAAAACTGCCGCACGCCACGAAGCGTGCGGCACAGAGAGTAGCAGTAGCAGTTGCAGCGGAAGCAACAAGGTGGTGAGCCCACCCACAGGATCGATCCAAGGGGATCGACCTGCTCTGATAGCATGTTAAGTTTAAAAGAGAGAAGAGGAAGAGGATTGCACTAGCAAGAATGAGGATACAAATAGCAAACCCTAGAAGGGTTGTACTCGCTATAGAGCACCCCACTACAGGCTAGAGCATAAGATAACATTCTGACACTCTCGCAAGCCAGTAGCTGAGAACCAACTGGACTTGGAGCGTGCCCTGCAGTACTTCACCTCAACACCTGACATCGGGCTCTTCTACTCCACGCTGACGACAACCTCCTTCAACCTCAACGGCTACGTGGACGCAGATCATGCAGCCGATCCTGCAAATCGACGGTCACGAACCGGCTTCATTTTCCGCCTGGAACCAACATGACCAATCTCTTGGAACTCGCAAAAGCAGGAACTGGTTGCCTTGTCATTGACTGAAGCAGAGTACATCACCACGACAACAGCACTTCGTGAAGGACTTTACATGCAAGAGCTGCTGCAGGAAGCGAAAATTTCAACTTCGCCCACCTTTCGCCTCCACTGCGATAACCAGAGCTCCATCAAGATCGCGAACAAGCCACAGTTCGTTAACTGCACAAAGCACATCGCGCTTCGATATTTTTTCGTTAAGGACGAAATTGACCAGGGCAAGGTTGATCTCACATACTGCCCCACCACCGAGATGGCAGCTGACTTCCTCACCAAGCGACTGCCACGTCAGCAGTACCAGCACTGCTCCGACCTTATCAGAGTAGTCAAGCGATTCAGCCCTCTGCGCGACCAGGAATGAAGGGGAGTGTTCCGATATATGAGTAAGGCATTTTTGTATGCTGGAGGAGCCGACTCTACCGAGTACGAAGGCAATGAGTCAGAAGAGTCGAAGCGACACCAGCAACCGTCTGATCAAGACCGATGCAGGCAGAAACATTTGAAGTGAAAACAGCAGGAACATGTTTGAAACGGGTTTCCGCGCCGCACGGTTTGACTTTGCTGCAATAAAGGAATGTACCTGTTCTATATATAAACTCGATTATCTCAGTCATTTACATTCACTCTGACTTGAGGTCAACTCTTCTGTTGCAACACTACCCTGCGATCAATCCTGAGAACGATCCTTCGCTAAGTCCCACTTGGGATTGTAACACAAGGAAATGCTGCCGAACCACAGATCCACCAATGTCAAAAAGTGTAACCGAGAATGATGAAACTAACAGCATGCAGGAGTACAAGTAGCAAACCCAAATTGGGTTGTACCCCATATGGGCTACCCCACTATAGCCTACACAGTAATATAACAGTTTGACACACCCCCATAGGCAAGTGGGGGAGAACAAGGGGTCACAAGACCAGTCAAGAAAAGCAAAGCAAGCTCAGGGTGGATCACGAAGTCACCACACACTCTGAGCACAAGCAAATGGCCACAAGGCCAGTTCACATGCAGAGTTATATAAAGCAGGACAAGCAGTACGGTGATCACAACCTAGCAAGTGTAAGCATGCAGGTATATGGACATAGATCATAGTACAAGCAAAGTCAAGAAGTGAGCAAGTGAGACCAGGTAGGCACAAGGCCTAAGACAGTACAGAAACACTGATGATCACGAGGCTGAAGTGCCTTGGTGATTATATCAGCAGTGTTGGCCCGAGAGGCCATGTAAGCAAGACGAAGCTGACCACGCTGCTGCAACTCTCGTGCAAGGAAGTAACGCAGAGCGATGTGCTTCGTCCTGTGCTCCAGCCTGTGCTCCTGACACAAGGCAATCATGGCCTTGTTGTCGACGTACAGAGCTGGAGGAGAACGAGGTGGCTCTCCCAAGTCGGTCAGCAGGTAGGTGAGCCAGCGTAACTCTTGTGCAGCCATGGCCCCTGCGTAGATCTCAGCCTCACAACTAGAGCTGAGAACAGAAGACGAGCGGGTAGACCACCAAGAAACAGAGCCGGAGCCAAGGCTGAAAGTGTAACCCAGTGACGACCGCTGCGTAGCCAAGTCGTCAACCCAAGAAGCGTCTGCGTGTCCAGTGAGGACAACTCGACCCCATCCTCCAAGCACGAGCCCCATGCCCGATGTACTGCACAAGTAGCGCATCACCCTCTTAGCGGCCTTCTAGTGCTCTGGTCGGTGTCTCCCGGGTGCAACGTAGCGTGCCAGGATGCTAAGAGCGTAAGCAAGGTCAAGTCGAGTGCAGGTCATCAGGTACATGAGGCAGCCCACAAGCTCTGGATATGGGCCACTCGGCTCTACAGACTCGTCCGAAGGTGGAGCTGAGAGCGAGTGACCAGTAGGCTGAGGCGTGGACTGTGGCGAGGAGTACGTGAAGCGGAAGCGCTGAAGGACCTGGTGCACCATATGTGATTGAGTCAGGGTGATGGTGTGCCGTGCTCTGTCCCGGGTGATCTGCAAGCCAAGATAGCTGCGCAGCTCACCCAGGTCTGTGCACGTGTGTCTCTTCTGCAGCTCCGACTTCACAAGGGCTAGTGCCTCAGTGTCAGCAGTGGCAAAGACCAAGTCGTCGACGTACATGAGGATGTAGAACGGCGGCAGCGAAGTGTCGGTGTGCAGAAACAGCGACGGCTTAGCAGTCAAAGGAGCAAACCCAAGAGCCGCAAGTGTCGTCCTCAGTGTGTCGTGCCACTCGCGAGGCGCCTGGCGGAGACCGTAGACTAGCCGCCGGAGGCTCCACTGGGTAACTGCAGGAAACGACCCTGTGAAGCCAGGTAGGCGGCGCAGCCAGATCTCCTCGTGCAGGTTGCCCTGTAAGAAAGCTGTGCTGAAGTCAAGAGAGGGAAGCTCGTAGTCACGCTGAGCGGCGACGTGCAGCAGCACCCAAAGAGTGGTCATCTTCGGGGTAGGGGAGAAGGTCTGGAAGAAGTCAACTCCCTGTCGCTGACTGAAGCCTCGTGCAACGTAACGCGCCTTGAAGACAGGCGGGGAACCCGGCGGCCGCTTCACCATAAAAATCCACATGCCATCGACAATGTTCGCCCCAGAAGGGGGAACCTCGTTGACGTAAGTGCCTATGGACTTCCAGGATGCCACCTCTGCGTCCATGGCTGTCTGCCACTGAGAGGAGTAGGGACCCTCTATCGCCTCTGCGTAAGAGCGCGGGGTCAAGATGTCTGGTGCATCGGGTCTCCCTCAGGTGCAATCAGCATGGACACGAGATGAGTTACAGCAGCTGCAAAACACTCAAAGTCCTCCTGCTTGTCCTCAAGGACGTCCGTGCCAAGAGCACACTCACCCCCGACGGACGGAGGACAGACAGACTCAGACTCAGCAACAAGACTAGCGGCGTAGTCGAGGCGACAGGCGGCAGCAAAGTCAACAAGCTCAGCAACAAGGGCAGACGCAGCAGTGGACTCAAACGAAGGGTCAGTGACAACAGTGGCTAGAAGACATGTGACAGTAGGACTGGCAGCACGAGCAAGGTCGAACGGCGGGTCAAGAACGTCAGAAAGAGAGGACGCAGGAGGAGACGGGAGAGGGACACGCTGTGGAACAGAGGAAGGACGAAGTGCCATGTGGTGCGTGCCGGGGACAGGAGGATTACGCTGACGCGGAACACGACGACCAGTGCGAGCAGCTTGAATAGGCGACGCATGACGAGACGCAGGCTCACGACGCTCTGCAAGACCTTCTGTCTGCTCAGTGTAAGGAGAAGGAGCAGGCAGTGCGGAGGCTGGCTGTAACTGCGACTGCGACTGGTCAGGCGATGGACACAGAAAGGGAGGAGTAAGGCCAGTAGAAGGCGGGAGACCAAGAACCTGTTGAAGTAGTGGAACGAAGTACAGTCGCGGCCGCACAGTGCCTCCATAACCAACACCGACAGCACTAGCACCCCCAGGGCCAGCACTTCCAGCTCCAGGGTCTCCAGCTCCAACGCCAACAGCACCACCAGCTCCATCTCCAGTGCCTCCAGGTCCAACGCCTGCAGCACCTCCAGCTCCAGCAGCTCCAGTACCTCGAGCAGCTCCAGTACCTCTAGCAGCTCCAGCTCCTCCAGCTCCAACGCCTGCAGCACCTCCAGCTCCAGCAGCTCCAGTACCTCCAGTAAGAGCACCTCCGGGACCAGCAGCTCCAGTGCCTCCAGCTCCAGGGTTTAGGGTTTAGGGTGGCCTTCCGGATCGAACGTGAGGACACTGAGCGTGGCCATTGCGGGCAGAGCGGTCGGGCGTGCTAGCAGCAGAGCAGCACGCAGACAGGGCTAGGCAGGGCGGCGCAGAGCGATTCAGCAGCGAGCGGCACGCGGCAGGGCATGGCGTGTGGTAGGGCAGGGCGCGCGGCGGCGTGGCGCGCGGGCAAGGCAGGACGGCGCGCCGCGCGGGTAGGGCAGAGCGCACGGCATCGCGACGCGTGGGCAGGGCAGGGCGCGCTGCGGCAGGCGGCGCGCGGGCCAGCAGGGCGCGCGGGCAAGGCGGCGTGACGGCGCACGGGCAAGCAGGGCGCGCTGCAGCAGGCAGCGCGCGGGCAAAGCAGAGCGGGCTGCAGCGGGCGGCGCGCGGGCAGGGCAGGGCGTGCGCAGGCAGCGCGACGCAGGGCAGGGCAGGGCAGGGCGCGATCACGTCGGCGCGACGGGTGGGGTAGCGCTACTTGGTGGGCCCTACACTCAGAGCTGTCCTCTGCTCTCGAGCTCATCTGCGAGTTTACTCAACACTCTTCTTCTCTCAAGTGACTCAGGCGCCGGCTGTTCCTGCTCCACTGCAGCCGTAGCAGCCGTAGCAGCAGTGGCAGAGGCCACCTCGTGTGCCTCAGAAACTCGTAGCAGCTGTAGCTGCCACCGCCTATGGCTGTTGTTGAGGAGCCTCAAGAAGCGTTGCTGCAATGGCTGCTACTTCGTGTGGCTGGGCATTGGTGGCGAGGAAGACAAGAGGGACACGCGCTGCGATAGCAGCTGTGCACATGCACTGTGCTGCCTGGTCGATTGGGAGGAAACATCCGTCCGATGGATGCTGGTGGGAGGGGTGGGATTGGGGTGGGGGAAAGGGTGAGTGGGGAGGGGAGAGAGAGAGAACGGAGTAAGGGGCGTGATGGTAGATTGATGGAGTGGGCGTTGGTGGCAAGGAAGACGAGGGGGACACGGGCTGCGATGGCTGCAGCACGCATGCACTGTGCTGCTTGGTCGACTGGCAGGAAACAGCCGTCCGATGGGTGCTGGTGGGAGGGTGGGCGAGAGCGAGAGAGGGACTGGAGCGAGGAATGTCAGAGATGGGATGGGATGGGATGGGATGGGATGGGGTGGGGTGGGACGGGACAAGACGGGAGGGGATGGGACAGGATGGGATGGGATGGGATGGGATGCGATGGGATGGGATGGGATGGGATGGGGTGGGACGGGACAAGACGGGAGGGGATGGGACAGGATTGGATAGGATAGGATGGGATGGGATGGGATGGGATGGGATTGCAAAAGACGCTGGCCGCGTCATGCGTCCTGCGTCTAGACGCAGCGTCCGGACGCGGGGACGCTAGACGCGTGTCCAGACGCAGGACGCACGGCGGTTATTTTTGGGGCTGACCGATTTTTTTGTTTTGCCCCAGCGCGAAATTGACATTTGCGATTTCGACGCGACTGTCAGTTTCGCGTCAAGTCTACCTCTCCTAACCCATTTCGACCATCAAAAACACCCTAGCGGGTTTACCAACACAATTCTCCTTCGTAAACCCTGAACCCTGAAAATTTGGAGGGAATAATTTTGCCTCAAATGTGTGCAACGTCGTTCCCCCGCCCCTTCCCATGCCCTATAACATGGTTTTTTTGGCTGCCCGGTGGTTTTTTTTGCCCTACCCGGGGATGCGTCTTTTTCAGCGTCTCCCAAGCTCTCATGAAGCGTCCTGCGTCTAAGACGATGCGTCTGGACGCCAACGTCTTAGACGCAGGACGCGTCTTTTGCAACTAAGGATGGGATGGGATGGGATGGGATGGGATGGGATCAGATGGGATGGGATGGGATGGGATGGGATGGGATGGGATGGGATGGGATGGGATAAGATGGGATGGAATGGGATGGGATGGGATGGGATGGGATGGGATGGGATGGGATGGGATGGGATAAGTTGGGATGGGATGGGATGGGATGGGATGGGATAAGATGGGATGGGATGGGATGGGATGGGATGGGATGGGACGGGACGGGACGGGACGGGATGGATTGGCATGGGACGGGACAGGATAGGATCTGATGGGGTGGGATGGGATGGGGTGGGATGGGACATGTCGTACCTTCTTGCGGCAGTAGTCCTTGAAGTCCCCCCTCCTGAATTGCACAGCCATGAACCAGGCGACTTTTGAGTCGACTCAAAACTCACCAAGTCGTACGATTTATACCTTCTTGCGGCACTAGTCCTTGAAGTCCCCCCTCCTGAATTGCACTGCCAGGAACCGGCCGGCCATTGAACAGGTGGTTTTGCACTATGTGCCGCGCTGCTGCTATCAGCGGCTTAGGGGGCTGTGGGAATGGGAGAGGGGGGAGTGTGTGTGTAGAAAGAACGAAAATGGGCGGGAGGGAGAGAAGGGAGAGAGAGGAAGCACATGGAAAGAGACGCGGAGGAAGAGCGGGAATCGGTCGTTGAGCAGATGGTGCTGCGCCATGTGCCGTGCTGTGCTGCTACCACCAGTCGCTCAGGGGGCTGTGGAAGTGGGTTGGGGCTGGATTTGTTACCAGCAAATGCTTAACATTGGATTTGGCTCCAATGCTCCAATGCTTAGCATTGGCTATCGAATAGCATTGGATTTGGTGAGAGGGAGATGCTCCAATGCTTCGAATAGCAATCTCCCTCTCACCAGGGCGGCTATCTCCCATCTGGGCGGCAATCTCCCATCTGGACGGCAATCTCCCATCTGGGCGGCAATCTCCCTTCTGGGCGGCAATCTCTCATCTGGGCGGCAATCTCTCATCTGGGCGGCAATCTCTCACCCGGATGGCGGGAGACGCGAGGCATGTGTCTCGCGGCACCACCTTGGCAGGCTTAGGCTTCCCCCTCTGCTTGCCCGATGGTGGGGGCAGCAGGAACGGGAGGTCCATGGGGGCGAGCATGCGAAAGAAGATGGGATCCGTGATGGGTTGCTGGAGGGAGAAGGGGGAGAGGGCAGGCGGTGGGGAGGAGAGGGGGACATGTGTGAGAATGCATGGAAGGGAAGAGGACACAGAGCAGGGAACGGGAGGTCCATGGGGGAGAGCATGTGAAAGTAGATGGAATCCGTGATGGGTTGCTGGGGAAGGGGAGGAAGAGGGGGGGGGGGGGGAGGTATGGGGGAAGGGCATGGTGGAAGGAATAGAAAAAGGTTAAGGGACCGAGGGAGCAGGGATGGGAGGTCCATTGGGGCGAGCATGCAGAAGAAGACAGAATCCGTGATGGGTTTGCTGGTGGGGGAAGAAGGGGGGTGCGGGGTAGGGAGGGAGGAAGAATACAGGGTATTAAGTAGGCATCAGCAGGTGGCTGGCATCAGCAGGTGGCATCAGCAGGTGGCATCAGCAGGTGGCATCATGGGGCATATCAGGTGGCATCATGGGGCATATCAGGTGGCATCATGGGGCATATCAGGTGGCATCATGGGGCATATCAGGTGGCATCATGAGGCATATCAGGTGGCATCATGGGGCATATCAGGTGGCATCATGGGGCATATCAGGTGGCATCATGGGGCATATCAGGTGGTATCAGCAGGCACACTGGTCTCACAGAGAGAGACAGAGACACACACCTTCTTGAACTCGCCAATCACCAGCACACCATCTGGCACTCGGCTGTAAACCTTGAGAAACGCTGCCAGGAGAGGTTGAGAGGTTTGTGGTTGAGGGGTGCGGTTGATAGGGGTGCAGTTGGGATGGGATGGCATGGTATGGCATGGCATGGTAATGCATGTTGAAAAGGGAGAGGGAAGCACGTGACGAGGTTCAAGAGCGGTGCTCAGAGCTCACATGAGTGCGACACATCACAAAGGCCTCTTTGCGAACATGCCACGTCCGATTGGTTCATACGCCACCAGACAACACCACACCATAGCACGTCGCACCAGCATTTCCCAACCCCATTGCATCACACCACACCACACCACACCACACACCACACCACACCACACCACTGCACAGGCTGCGACAATGTCTGCTTGGCACACCAGATCTCCTCAATTGCACCATTGCAGGTACAGCAGGCGCTAGAGGCACACAGCACGCACTAGAGGCACACAGCCCAGCCCAGCCCAGCATAGAGCAGTGCAGTCCAGCCCACCTTGCAGCGTGTGTTTGTCTGGCAGGCCAGACCACGCCCACACTACACTCGAGCCCAGCTCCAGTTCCCATGCAACACGGCAGCCCAGCCTAGCCCAGCCCAGCCCAGCCCAGCTCAGCCCAGCCCAGCCCAGCCCAGCCCAGCATGCAACGCTAAACGCCACCAGCCCACCTTGCAGCGAGTGCTTGTCTGGCAGGCCCGACCACGCCCACTGCTCCACTGCCGGCACCGCCCCGGGTACGGTGGCCACACCACACTGCAGCCCAACCCACCTTGCAGCGAGTGTTTGTCCGGTAGGCCCGACCACGTCCACTGCTCCACTGCCGGCACCACAACGTTCGCTAGGCTGATGCGCCCCTTGCTCGCCTTGAACTGCCCGCCTGGTGCTGTATGAGAGGAGAGGGTCAGCAGGGAGGTGGAGTGGGCGCTATCGAGGCGACTTCTCAGGTCAGGTGACTCAAACACGTTCGCCAGGCTGATGCGCCCCTTGCTCGCCTTGAACTGCCCTCTTGGTGCTGCTGCCCCAGGTGTGGTACAGAGAGAGAGGGGAGACGGGTTCAAGAGGATGGGGGGGGAAGAGGACTAGGCTAACCTTGTATCTCCCTCGCTCTCTCCACCGAAAATGTGACACCAAAACAAAACAATGAGGGGGGAGAGGAGAAGGGGGAGGGGTGGGGGAGGGGAGGGAAGGGGAGAAGGACGGGGATGAGAGAAGGTGGTGCTGCAATTGGGTTTTCTCTCTCATAGAGGGAGAGAGGGAGGGAGGGAGGGAGGGAAGGAGGGAGGGAGGGAGGGAGGGAGGGAGGGAGGGAGGGAAGGAGGGAGGGAAGGAGGGAGGGAAGGAGGGAGGGAAGGAGGGAGGGAAGGAGGGAGGGAAGGAGGGAGGGAAGGAGGGAGGGAAGGAGGGAGGGAAGGAGGGAGGGAAGGAGGGAGGGAAGGAAGGAGGGAAGGAGGTGAGAGGGCAGAAGAGCGGGAAGTGGGAAGATACAAGGGAAGATAAAGAGAGAGGGAAAGAGCGTTCCTATTTTCCCCATCCACCTGGCTCTCACTTACTATCCTCTGGCAGAATGCATCATGCAACTACGCACACCACTTTTGAGGCGCCTCAAAAGCTGATTTTTGGGGCCAAATCAAATTCTTTCTCCATCCACCTGGCTCTCATTTCACCTGGCTCTGATTTCACTTGCTACCCTCTCATTTCACTTGCTATCCTCTCATTTCACTTGCTATCCTCTCATTTCACTTGCTATCCTCTGCCAGAATGCAACGACGCCCCTTTCCTTCCCCCACCTCTCCAACCCCCAAGCAACCCTCGAATTCCCTTCCCTCTCCTACCCTGTTCCCATCACTCCATCCATGCATGGTGCGCATAACCAGCATCACGCACGAGGAGGGAAAGGGCTGCCCTGTGCAGCCTAGTCACCCCGGGGGAACCCTGCTCCTCCCCCTCCCCCCCCCCCCTCCCTTCCCCCCTCTCAATCACCAGCGCCCCCAGCCCAGGTGCGCCCCACTCACCAGCGCCAGGCACGAGGTGGCAGCCCTTGACAAGGCACAGCACGTGGGTCACTTCCATGCTGCCCCTGCCCACCTGCCCGGGGATGAGACGCGGATGGCGGGTGACAGGGAGGGGGGGGGGGGGGGGGTGGGTTGGGGAGGGGGCAGCGACAGGTGGTTGACGCAACAGGTGGTTAAGAGAGGGGAAGGTCGTTGATTATGTCTGGTAAGGGAGAAAGAGCGAGGCACAGGTGGTAGGGTAGGTAGGGCCACGAGGTGGTAGGCCTTGACGAGGCACAGCACATCGGTCACCTGCTTGCTGCCCCTGCCCACCTGCCGGGGGGGGGGGGAGGAAATGAACGCGGACGGGGGTTGGGGGTTGGCAGGGACAGGCGGTCAAGAGAGGGGACGGTGGTTGGGGAGGGCGAGGGGCAGGAGTCAGGGGCACGAGGTGGCAGCCCTTCACAAGGCACATCACGTGGGTGACCTGCATGCCGCCACTGCCCACTTGCAGGGGTTAAGGTGGAGGGTTGGGTGCAGGGACAGATGTTGAGGCAGGGCAGGCCAGGGGTATGGGGCAGGGGCAAGAGGTGGCAGCCCTTCACAAGGCACATCACGTGGGTGACCTGCATGCCGCCACTGCTCACTTGCAGGGGGTGAGACGAGGGTGGTCAAGGCAGGGAAGGGGGGCAAGTGGTGGTTAACACAGGGGTAGAGATGGGTAAAACAGGGGTTGATTGAAACAGGGGTAGATGGTTAAAATAAGACTTGATAGTTGGCCAGCCAGGGCAGGCAGGAGCAGGAGAAACCCTTTGTGGTGTGACATGCCAACTCTGATGGTGCATGCAAGCCGCGCTGCAGCAGTACGACATGGCATGACACAGGGTGACATGCGAAAATGGCATGACCTTGTTGTGACGTAATGAATTGCCTGTGTTATGTCATGAGATGGCATGACATGACATGACATGACATGACAGCGACATTACATCCCATCCCATTCCATCCCATTCCATCCCATCCCATCCCATCGCACACAGGCGAGGCAGGCAGCAGTCACACGACAACAGCACTGCGTTCCCCTGTGGGACCATAACACGCACTCACGAACTGCTTGTACTCGTCGAGGGTGAGCACGGTCTTGGGCCCATAGCAGGTACGCAGGACATTACAAGGGCTGCACGGATGGCATACTCATGGCATGGCATGGCATGGCATGGCATTGCATGGGACATGGCAACAGCATCACTGCCTGCACTCACGAACTGCTTGTACTCGTCGAGGGTGAGGGCTGTCTTGGGACCATAGCAGGTGCGCAGGACAGGACAAGGGCAGCACGGGTGGCATACACATGTCATGGCATGGGACATGGGGCACGGCAACAGCAGCACGGGTGGGTAACTCACGAACTGCTTGTACTCGTCGAGGGTGAGGGCTGACTTGGGACAGTAGCAGGCACGCAGAAAGGGCACGTCGAAGACGAGGGAGAGCGACAGAGTTAGCTGGTGGTGTGCATGAGGGGGCGAGCAGCGGGCGAGAAGGGGGAAGGGAGGTGGAAAAAAGCACTGTGATTTCTCTGCTGCACAAGGAAGGGCACGTCGAAGACGAGGGACAGCGGCAGGGTTGGCTGGAAAGGGACAGAGAGAGGGAGGAGGCGCGGCATGGAGGTGAGGAGAGGAGTGGTTTGTTGCACAGGAAGGCGCAGGAAGGGCACGTGGAACAAGAGGGAGAGCAGCAGGGTCAGCTGGTGTGCGTGGGTGGGGGTGAGGCCAGGGCGACAGACATAGGCGGGAGTGAGAAGTGGGCGAGGAGGCGGAATGAGGTGCAGGGATGGCCGGCAGGGAAGGAAGAGATGAGAGAGGGGAGGGAGAGAGGGGTGCTGCTACTAGCGATAAAACTGGAGAGAAGGTACAGGAGGTAGGGGAGGAAAGGAAAGGAGGGATAGAAGCAATGTCTATATTGGTTCAACAGCTGCAATGGCAGCTACAGACCCGAAACCAGTCCTATCAATATTTTTTGGCTCAGGACCTATCAATGAAAGCCTTTCTTAGATAGACAAGTCCAACGGGTATGTCTTGCTGCACCAACATGGTCATGCCCATCACATGCCCCATCACATGCCCCATCACATGCCCCATCACATGCCCCATAACATGCCCCATCACATGCCCCATCACATGCCCCATCACATGAGGCAGAGCAGGTTAGGGCAGGGGAGGGCAGGGCAGGGCAGGGAAGGGCAGGGCAAGTGAGCATACCTCGTGTGGCCCCATGGGCACCACAAGAGTTTGTGACAAAATGGAAGAACCATTGAATTGATTAGGAGAGATGGAGGTATACATAGTAGTGCTAGGGGGGGGGGGGTTTGGTTGGAACCAAGCCAACATTATTGGCCCCCACCAATAAGTTGGGTTGAGGGATTATTGGGGGGACCAATAATGTTGACCAAGTGGTTCAACATTATTGGGGGGACCAATAATTCCCAACCCAACCTTGGGGCCAAGGTTGGAGTTCCAACCCCCAACTAGGGTTAGCCCTAGTTCTACACCCAAACTAAGATTGGGTGCTATCTCTAGCCTAAGCTTATAGGATTGATGTAGGTTACAATGAGGATGGCAATCTGACACAACCCCTTAATCTACAGAAATCCATAAGCTCGGGAAGAGAGAGAGTAACAACCCCTGAGTCAGCCACCGCGGGGAGCAAGTCCTTGGAGACGCAGAAGCGCAGAGTGGTCGGAGCGGTGGAGAGCCTTGGTGAAGAGATCGGCGAGGTTGTCGGAGGAGGTGATTTTGCGAACGGTGAGGTGACCATCTTGGACAAGGTCGCGAACAAAGTAGTAGCGAAGCTCAATGTGTTTAGAGCGACCATGAAAAACTGCTTCCTTGGTGAGGTGGATGGTACTGTCATTGTCACACCATAGGGTGGGGCGGGGCTGTGGAGAGCCAAGGTCGGTGAGCAGATAGCTGAGCCAACGTGCTTCTTGAGCCGCCATCGTGACCGCGTACAATTCAGCTTCGCAGGATGAGAGGGCAACGAAGGAGGAGCGGGTGGAGCGCCAACTGATGAGGCCGCCCCCAAGTGTGAAGCCATATCCCTGAGAGCTGCGACGGTCGGGCTGTGCGTCGGCCCAAGATGAGTCGCTGAAGCCTTGAAGAATGGGCGGGTTCACACCACCCAGAGTGAGGACATGGTCCTTCGTGCCTTGAAGGTAGCGAAGAACACGCATGGCCGCCTTCCAATGCTCTTTATCATGCCTGCCGGTGCCAACGAACTGCGCCAGAACACTGACTGGGTATGCAAGGTCGGGACGAGTGCAGACCATGGCGTACATCAGGGCCCCAACAAGTTCTGCGTAGGGATGAGGGGAGGTGACGGGAGTGGTGGGAGGGGCGAGCTGATGCCCGAATGCAAGTGGTGTGGGGATGGGTTTGCAGGTTGTCATGCCAAACCTCTCAAGAATCTTCTCGATGTAAAAATACTGAGAGAGGGTGATGGTCTTGGCAGTGAGGTCGCGAGTGATCTCCATGCCGAGGTAGTTGCGAACCTCCCCTAGGTCTTTGCAGGCAAGGCGTTTCTGCAGCTCATCCTTGACCTCCTGGAGGTCAGCAGCTGTGTCAGCGGCCAACAGCATGTCGTCGACGTAGACGAGGATGAAGAAGGGTGATGGGGTGAGGCGCAGGAAGAGGCAGGAGGCGGCACGGGAGGGGCGAAAGCCAAGTGCGCGAAGGGTGGAGTAGAGTTTGGCGTGCCATTCCCGAGGTGCTTGTTTGAGCCCGTATACAGAGCGTAGCAGCTTCCAAACAGTGGTAGGGTCGTGAGGAGCGTGGAAGCCTTTGGGACGTTCCAAGAAAATGAGCTCATGAAGGTCGCCTTGCAGAACGGCGGTGGTGACGTCCATGGAGTGAAGAAGCATCCCACGTCTGCCAACAAAGTCAAAAAACACGCGAATGACCGGTGGAGTGGCGGTGGGTGAGTAGGTCTCGAAGAAGTCTGAGCCATAGGTCTGTGTGAAGCCTTTTGCCACATATCGAGCCTTGTACACCGGAGCCTCGCCAGGGAGTAGTTTGACTCGAAAAAGCCACCTGCCTTAGACCACGTTGTGCTTTGAGGGACGAGGGACGTCGATAAACGAGCGGTTGCTGATGAAGGCGTTGCTCTCCTTGACCATGGCCTCGATCCTGAGAGGTGCATCAAGGCAGGCAAGTGCTTGCTCATAGGTGGTGGGTTCGTAGATGGTGGGGGTGGTGGAGAAGAGAAGAACAGTGGTGCCAGCCATTGTGCGGACAACGGGGGCGACGGTGGGTGAGAGGAGGTGGAGGAACATTAGCTCATCATGAGAGTCCTCAGTGAGGTCCGGAGTGAGAGGAGGAGGAAGAGAAGGCGGTGAAGTTGCAAGACAGCTGCGCTGGTGGGTCGGGCTGATGCGGGGACACAGCTGCACTGGTGCTCTGCTGCGCTGAGGGTCGGGGCGGGGAGACAGCTGCATTGCAGCTCGGCTTCGCTGAGTTGCCGTGAGGGGCAGGGAGACGGGGGCGCGACTGCTGAGAGAACCTGAGGTGCTGGTGTGGGGGGGAGGGGAGGTGCTATGGTGGCGGAGAAGGGGGATGGATGTGAGGGGGAGGCCGTCGAGGAGTTGGGTGGAGACAGTTTGACGGAGGGTGGCAAAGTTGGGATGACCCAACCTATGGTGAAGGAGAACTGCAGGATGGGTGAGGTCACGACAGTGACAGGAGGAGGTGGGGGAGGGGGGGGGAGGGGGGGGGGAGGAGGAGGAGGGGAGGGGAGGGGGGGGGAGGAGATGGGGGAGGGGATGGGGGAAGGGATAGGGGAGGGGATGGGAAGGGGGGGAGGAGGTGGGGGGAGGGGAAGGGGTGAGGTGGGGGCGATGAGGTGATGAATGGAGGTGCGAGGGGTGCGGTACGTGTACAGGTTTGTGCGAGGGCAGAGGGGAATGCGGCAGATGAAACGACCAGTGGTGTTGTGAAAGAGGTCGCAGTAGAGTGCATGACCGGGGAAGAGGGCGGTGACATTGAACCTGGTGAGGTCACATAGTGCTACCAGATTGTTACGTAGGGAGGGGATGTATAGACCTGTGACTGTACCTGAGGGAAAGATGGGACAGGGGAGGGTGGAGGTGTGTTGACTAGTGATGGTGAAGCTGGAGTCAGCTCCGTGGATGGTGGAGGGAGTGGGGAGGGGCACCAGTGTGCCTGCATCGCGCAGAACAGTGTGTGTCACGCCACTGTCAATGATAAACTCAAGGCATGAAGAGGAGGAGGAAAATGCGGAGTACTGGAAGAGAGACTCATTAATAGCATGGGCATACAGAGAATCAGCAGGAGCAGTGTTAACATGTCCTATAAAGCCAGCAGAGGGGAACGGAGTGATGCTGGTTTGAGGAGGAGGTCTGTTCAGCAGCAGTAGCAGCAGATGCTGGGGGTCCATGGCCATATCCAGGATAGGGAGGGTAAGGCCAGCCAGCATAGGGTGGGGGATAGAGAATGGGAGGGGCTTGAGGCGGAGGTGTGGGCGGAGGAGGAGTGGGAGTGGTGGGAGTGGGGGTGGATGAGGGGAGAAGCTGATGAACTTGCTGAAGGATGTGAGATGGGAGATGCTGAGCGAGGACATTGTGGAGGTTAGGAGCAGAGGGTTGGTAGGCGGGGAGAGTGCGAATGTCATGGAGGGAGGGGCGTGGGAAGACAATGTTCCAGCGAGGTGGAGTGCCAACGTTGCCACGTGCGAACCACTCGTCAGTGAGGGCTTTGAAGCACGTGTCAGTGGTGTGAGTGGTCTGAGAGCATGGCTGACCTTTGTTGGAGCCATAGCGGATGATGTACTGACACGGGGGAAGGGTGCCCGAAGGTGAGGCGTATCCGCCACGTCCGCCACAGCCACCACCGCGTCCACCACTGCGTCCTCCTCCTCGTCCTCCTCCACGTCCACCACCACGGCCACCTCCACCACCGCCAGTGCCGCCACACCACCTCCGCCGCTGGTCTGGTTGCCTGTGGAGGTGTTGCGAGTCTGAACTGCATTGATAGTGGTGGAGTCACGTTGAAGGTCTGCTTCGCTGTCAAGTAGCCATTCGATGGTGTCGGTCACAGGAGGAGGGCGACGGTAGCGGGAGGTAAAGGTGATGCGGTATGTGTCATATGTGGGGGGGAGGCAGTCGAGAATGCGTGCAGTGAGGAGAGACTCAGAGATGACAATGCCCCGATCGTTGAGGCGTTGTGCAGAGTCAATGAGGCGGCGGGTGTAGGCAGCAGCAGTGGGGGAGGAGTCGAGGGTGGTGTCTTGGAACTTGCGAAAGAGGGCGAGGAGGGAGCGAAGATCCTGTCGATCATATTGCGTAGAGAGGGTTTTCCAGAGGCCGGAGGAGGAGGTAGGACGGAGGTCTCGTTTGAGGTGTGAGGGGATGCAGGAGAAGATGATGGCGAGTGCGCGGCGATCCGCAACACGCCATGCCGCGACAGCCTTGTGAAGTTTGCGGAGCTTGTCAGCATGGTCCCTCTCGTCTTTTTCGTACTGGAGGATGCGTGCAGCAGCGACAGCATGTGCTTCCTCAGCCACACGATATGCTTCACGCTGGATGGTGTAGGTGTCACGTAGCTTATTGTAATTGTTCAAGTTGGCCGCCCAACGATCCGGGTGATCATCATGAACTGGAGGATTGGGGGGGGGGTCAATAGGTTCTGGAAGGGGAGGGGCATCGAGGGGAGGGGGATCAAGCGGAGGAGGGAGAACGGGTGGAAGACCGTTAGAGGTTTCAAGGACTATGTCAAGGAGACAGTAGTCTTGGATGATGACGGAGCCAAGGTGGGTGTGGAGCGTATCCTCGAACGACGCCCAATTCACAGCGGTGGTATCATGAAGGAGCTCGAGCTTGTCGATAGCTCCGAGCTCAATGGGAGTAGAGTCGTCCGCCATGAGGGGAAGGAGGGGGAGGGGGTGACGACACCGGCTGGAGGGCGGGTGCGGTCAATCGAGGTGACGACACCACCGGGAGGGGTGGTGCGGTCGAACGGCTGCGCCTAGTCGCGTTGCTCACGGCTGCGCCTGGGCGCGCCGCCCGCGGCGGTCGCCTCCGCCGGGAGCGCCGCCCGCGGCCGTCGCCTCCGCCGGTCGCGCCGCCCGCGGCCGTCGCCTCCGCCGGTCGCCACGTCCGCGGCCGTCGCCTCCGCCGGTCGCCGCGGACGGTCGCCGCGTCCGCGGCCGTCGCCTCCGCCGGTCGCCGCGTCCGCGGCCGTCGCCTCCGCGGCCGTCGCCGCGGACGGTCGCCGCGTCCGCGGCCGTCGCGTCCGCGGCCGACGCCGCGGACGGTCGCCGCGTCCGCGGCCGCCGCGTCCGCGGCCGCCGCCTCCGCCGGTCGCCGCGTCCGCGGCCGCCGCCTCCGCCGGTCGCCGCGTCCGCGGCCGACGCGTCCGCGGCCGCCGCCTCCGCCGCCGCCGCGTCCGCGGCCGCCGCCTCCGCCGGTCGCCGCGTCCGCGGCCGCCGCGTCCGCGGCCGCCGCCTCCGCCGGCCGCCGCCTCCGCGGCCGCCGCGTCCGCGGCCGTCGCCGCGGCCGGCCGCCGCGTCCGCCGGCCGCCGCGTCCGCCGGCCGCCGCGGCCCGCGTCCGCGGCCGTCGCCCGTGAAACCCTACTCCGCGGCGGTTGCCCGCGTTCGTCGCGTTTGCGGCGGTTGCCCCCGATTAGGGTTTCGTCGGTCGCGGTAGTTGGTCCGACGGTTAGCGTGCTTGCGGGAGAGAGGGGAGGGGCGGAATTGACCTTAGGAAGAAGGGAAGGGTACTGAAATTTAGCGCGGGGAGGGGGGCCGTGACGGCGTAGGAGCGCACTTGGCGCTAAGAGCGACCTAGTTGTCGCGTAAGGGAGGGGGGCGTGGTAAGGCACGCGGAGGTGTGGTTCTTTAGGATCGAAGAAGGTGTGAGCCGTGTTTGCTCTGATTACCATGTGACAAAATGGAAGAAGAACCATTGAATTGATTAGGAGAGATGGAGGTATACATAGTAGTGCTAGGGGGGGGGGGGGGGTTTGGTTGGAACCAAGCCAACATTATTGGCCCCCACCAATAAGTTGGGTTGAGGGATTATTGGGGGACCAATAATGTTGACCAAGTGGTTCAACATTATTGGGGGGACCAATAATTCCCAACCCAACCTTGGGGCCAAGGTTGGAGTTCCAACCCCCAACTAGGGTTAGCCCTAGTTCTACACCCAAACTAAGTTTGGGTGCTATCTCTAGCCTAAGCTTATGGGATTGATGTAGGTTACAATGAGGATGGCAATCTGACAGAGTTCGGTTGAGAGCGCCTGCGAGCAGAGCGAACTCTCTCAGACGGAAGAGATGGTTGGACATCTGCATGGGTGGCATACCCGCACGGGCGCATGGAGGCGGGCATGGAGGCGGGCATGGAGGGGTGCAGGGAGGGGTGCAGGGATGGGCGCAGGGATGGGCGCAGGGAGGGGAGCAGGGCAGAGGAGGAACACTCTTTAGGCGCGTCCAGACAGAAGAGATGGTTGGACATCTGCATGGGGCGGCACACAGGCAGGGACGCACAGAGAAACGCATGGGAGGGGTGCATGCAAGGGCGATTGCGAAGCAAGGGAGCAGGTGGACAAGAGCTTGTCTTCGACACACAAGGAGCGAAGCAGAGCGCCAGAGGGAGAGAACCATGCTCGTGCATCAAACGCGCGTGCACTTCTCTTCCCTTCGCGTCTTTGACAGTACGCATGCAGAGCAGAGTAGGGCAAGCAGAGCAGAGCAGGGCGAGAAGAGCAGAGCAGCACTTCTCACCCCGCCAGTGGAGCAGAGCAGCACTCCGCCTGCTAGTGCATCGAGTGTGCGTCACTTTCTCTTCCCTTTGGCATCGCGCATGCATCGAGTGCTACTCACCCCGCCAGTGGAGCAGAGCGCCAGAAGATACTTTCTGCCATCGGGACTCCACGACGCGCCCAGCAAGGGCTTGCTGGGAATGCCCCCGCTCTTCGCCACATCAGCTGCAACGTCAGCAATGACGTCAGCGGCCAGGCTGGCATTGACCAGCGGGGCCCCGGGGTGAGGGGGATGGTCTGCCCACCCGCTTATGGCGGTCATGGGGATGTAAAGCGCCCCTCCGGGTAATAAGGGGGATGAGGGGGATGTGCTGCACTGTGCTTGTGGTGCTGATGATGCTGCTGACGCTGCTGCTGCAGCTGATGCTAATGGTAGTCCTCCTGACGACGTGGCAGATGCTGCTGCTTCTGCTGGTAATGCTGTTGCGGGGGCTGGTAGGGATGCTGGTGACAGGGAGGACAGTGGCACAGACGGCTGAGACTGTGAGGGCTGGGACTGGGAGGGCGGGGATTGTGAGGGCGGGGATTGGTTGGGAGGTCGGGGATTCTGATGATGCCACTGTTTCTGACGGTACTGCTGTCAGCGATGCCAGCGCTGCTGATGCCGCCGATACCAGCGGTGCTGCGATAGACGGCACAACCAAGGGGGGCGGCAGCGACACGAGGGCGAGTGCTTGCAGGGCAGCGGCAGCAGGGTGGACAGCAGTACCGGCACCACCGGCACCACCAGCGCCACCAACACCACCACTGGCAGCATCGGCACCACCGGCACCTACAGTTTCACTGGAACCAGCACCCTCCGCAGCAGCAACGCTTCCAACGCCATCACCACTGCCCCTGCCAGGTGCAACCCCTGCTGTCTCCCACCCACTGCTGCTTGCGCTGTCACTTGCGCTGTCACTTGTGCTGCCACTGCTGCTGCGACCTAAGCTGTCGCCTATGCCATCGCCATCCCCATTGCTGCCACCGCTTCCACTGACGTCCCGTGCCGGCCGCTAGCGAAGCGTGGCAGCGTGGTGCAGATGGGCGAGGAACGGTGACCGGCGGTTCCCACCGCCACTACCGCTGCCGCCGCTGCTGCCACTGCTGCCGCCGCTGCTGCCACTGCTGCCGCCGCTGCTGAAAGCACTGCTGCTAGGGGTTAGGTCGCCAGTGTTGGTGCTGTCACCACTGCCCGTGGTGTAACTCCTGGTGTCCGCATTGCTGTCGCTGTCGCTTGCGTCTCATATTTCACCAGGCCCAACCAAGAGTAATACGCTTGAAACCGGGTAACCACTCAAGCAGTCGCAACTTTGTTGGGTTTGGTTGGGAGCACTTGTGATTGGCTGCAGCCCCAACAGGCTGGGGAAGGCAGATGCACGACTACCGAACTGCATTTGCACGAAACACCACACCTTGTGCGACGAAGGTAGGAAACACAGGGAACCAAGCGTAATACCACAGCAGGAATAATATGAGACAGTTGAGCAACCACTTTTCATTCCAGCCCACGACTCTTCTCAACAACTTAGATTAGCCTAGGGTTTGTTCATGGCTGTTCAGTAGAATGTCCTACTAAATGTTGTCTCATTACACGTAGATCTGAGTGTAGACATGAGCACGGGACGAGTCGAGCCAGGCTTGACTCGAGCCGGCAGTGGCTCGCCTTAACCTCGAGCCGAGTCGAGTCGAGCCAGGCCGAGCCGATTTGTGAACTCACCTGGCTCGTGGCTGGGTATCATACCCGAGCCACTCAAGGGCTTGGGTCGAGCCACATCGGCTTGTGACGAACCGAGCCAGGCTGGACCCTAGCAGTCACATATTCTGGTTATTCCGAACGTAAATCAGTGGTCTCTTATGAACAACGATGTCTGCATGCTGTGAATGGAATGATCTACAGGAAACGCGCCTCAGGAGGCACGAAAACGCGCCTAAGCGAGGCACGAAAACGCGCTTAGCAAGGCCCTGAAATGCGCCTAACGAGGCACGGAAACAACCCTCGCGAGTCATATCAAGGCACAAAAACGCGCGTGAGGTTGTCGTGCAATAATACACCAGAAGCCGGTATGGTGTCTGGCTGCTACGGTTGGCCGGATCTAGAAGATCACGATCAAGGCATAAAAACACGCGCGACGCGAGGTTGTCGAACAATTTCAGATCAGCAGTCTGATGCTGGCTAGCCGCTATGTTTAGAATACTCTAGAAATTCCCCGTCGATGCATGAAACGGAAACACGCGCGAGGTTGTCGAGCAATCAGATCTGACACTGCTTTTCGAATTTCTGACACAGTAACCCTAATTTCAACCCGCGAAATTTGGTCGAATTTGGTGGAGGGAAAGTTGGGAGGCCTGCTGTGGGATAAGCGAACAAATTAAGCTCAACGAAGCTGGATACAGAATGCTGGCGAACACCTTGGGGAACAATTTTTTCAAATACAAACGCACATGCGAAACTAGTCGAGAGTTGACGAGATTTCAACAGTTTTCGCCTCCTTTATGGAATGCTCGTGTCACTGAGATTGGGCAAAGGTTTCGCCTATTTTTCGCTACATGTTACTCGTCCCAGTGTCGCTGAGATTGGCCTCTACTGTTTTGTTAAAGCTCGCGTCTTGTAAGGAATTTTCCTTAATTCCTTATCGGGTTGACTGCTACGCGTACAGCCCGATTTTCGGACTTCGCACGTTCGGCCAATTTCAACGCTGCCGAGGCTCCTCGCGTCGCCTTTGGCATTTCCCATCGCCAAACCTGCACCCCAACCTCGCTCGTCCGAGGTTTCCTCCTAGCTAGGCTAGCCCTACATTAGTCAGTGCATTCATTGTATTCTCAGTTGATTTCAATCACAGTCTCGTTATTCGTTTACCTGCGCACTCTCTTTTACAACTCATAACACCTGGTATCAGAGCTACTTTCCTAGTTCACCCCGCTTTTTTGAGGGTAGTTTGGTGGCAGAGGGTGTGGCTGGTTTAGTGACTACACGACGGTTGGCTGCAGGGATTGTTAATTCAATCCTGCCCGACTCCGATAGTTCGTGTTTTCACTTGCCGGAAAGGCCACGGAGACCCGACTGCCCACCAGACGTAGCGCTAGGCACATGGATCAGGAGGCGGTTAACAGAATGATGGCACAAGTGGCAGAAATGCAGGAGAGCATGAAGACATTAATGGCGGAAGTGACAACGCTGCGAGAGGAAAACGCCGAGCTACGCCAGACGCGAGGTGAAGCGCGTCAGGAGTCGCCTGTGGACGAAAGCGAGGGCAACAGTCAAGCGGTGAGCAACCCACTGGATGCGCTCACACGTGACTTCGAAGAGGAAGACAGGCAGCGAGCGGCAGCAGCGCCAGTTGCAGTAACGACGATCAAGATCAAGCCCGTTAACCCACCCCCGTTTAATCCTACGGACAAGACGGTAACAGTAAAAGGGTGGCTGTTCGGGGTCGAGGTCTTCTTCACTGCAGCGGGAGTTAACGACGATGCCACGCGTATTAATTACGCGGTTTCGCTTCTTCGAGGTGCAGCGCTTGAATGGTGGCGCCGAACTTTGGAAACAGGGACGCCGACAGGTGTGACACATGCGGCAGACGGGACCTGTACAGTGGTTAATCAAGTGGCAGAACCAATCTTCGGTGTGACCAAGATACGCACATGGAAGGAGTGGGGCGCAGCCTTACGAGATCGTTTCGAGCACGTATCCGCCTCGGAGCAAGCTCGCATGAAGCTGCGTGCATGGTCGCAGATGGCATCTGTCCAAGACTACACGGCGTCATTTATGGGCTTCGCCGACCAAATTGATGACATGTCGGAAGCAGAGCGGTTGGATAAGTACGTCAGCGGCCTTAAATACGAAATACAGTTTGAGGTTCGCAGGGGCCGCCCGACATCGTTTCTCGAAGCAGTACGGCTGGCGGAGTCATCTGATGCGCTGATGCAGTACGCGAGAGCAGCTTCCAGGGATGGGAGAAGCTTTCGTGGCCAGACCCATCGGGCCACGATCAACGCCGTCCATACACCCGACCGGCCTCCTAAGGGTCCGTGTTTTCGGTGTGGGAAGGTGGGTCACTACAGGAACGACTGCCAGGAGAAAATGCCGCTGACAGGGAACGACAGGAAGGAGCAGGGAAATGGGAAGAGTCAGTAATTAGCGGGCCCTTTACTGACTGTGCTCCGTCGCCCGAACACCATCATCCCCACCGAGTCGTGGTTCCGATTCATGCAATCGATCGCACTCGGCCGAATAACGGGGATACTCATGTGGATCACCCTGTGCTGGTCGCTGGCAAGGTGTTAAAACATAATTTAAAAATGTTCGTCGATGGAGGGGCCAGCCATAGCCTCTTCAATCTGGCGAGCGCAAAAAAATGCAAGCTGCAACTTGACAGGTGTCTGCCCGAAATTGACGCCCGCCTCGTGGATGGGACGCCTCTGGCGATTACGGAAGAAACACGGACGGTCAGGATCGACTGCGGCGACAATTTCGGCTTCAGCATGAAGTTTCTCGCGACAGCATTGGACGGCTGCGACGTACTACTCGGACGTGATTGGCTGCGACGGCACAACCCCGTCATCGACTGGACAACGGGATCGTGCAGCATCAATAAGCACGAGGGGCTAATTAAGTTGCCTGCATGGACACCTGACTACATCCAAGCCCAGTGCGTCAAAGCTATCACTATAGCTCGCCACTTCAACAGGGGCGCGCAACTGTTCGCTGTCGGCTTACGCGAGTTGGCAATTGACACCGATGGAAAGGACATCGAGAAGCTATGTGCAGCTGTACCACCGGATTTAGCGGAGCTGATTCGAAGGTACCCGGACATTTTCCCCGACGACCTGCCACCTGGACTGCCACCCGAGAGACCTGAGGATCACAAAATCCAGCTGGAACCTGGCGCGCAGCCGACTGTTCGGACACAGTGGCGGTTGACCCAGCCGGAACTCGAGGAGCTGCGAAGTCAAATTGACGCACTGTTGGAGAAAGGGTTCATTCGGGCCAGTACTTCTCCCTTCGCAGCACCAATCCTGTTCACTCCGAAGAAGGACGGCGGGCTTCGCATGTGCATCGACTATCGCGCGCTGAACCGGGTCACCATCAAGTCTCGCTACCCAATCCCACGCACCGACGACCTCCTCGACCAACTTCGCGGCGCTCGATATTTCTCGAAGATTGACTTACGTGGCGGTTACCACCAGATTCGAGTCTTCGCCGACGATTGTCACAAGACTGCGTTTCGCACACGCTACGGGAGTTACGAATTTACAGTGATGCCTTTCGGCCTCATGAACGCG